AGTGGAGTCACTGTCAAAACGGGGAAGGTTGCCAAAGAGGTCAAACTGTTTTCAAACAAGATTCAGTAAATGATGTTGCGATTTCATAGAGCAAAATGATGCATGTAGCCCAGGCACCTCCACATGTTTTCACAATTGTCAACTCTATTCGTATTGTATTGGAATCTGCAGGATAGGTTATGAAAATATATGCCTTGTCTTGTTCACTGATAACTTCATCTGAGAGTCTAACATAGGGCTGGCTGACTTCTAAACACTCAGGGCTGCATAACCTACAGACTGTATTAGTGGGAGCCATATGTGGTGTAGGCTACACCAAGGCAGATGTCCCTGTGGCTCTACTATGCCCATGTGGATACTCTCCCCACTCTGGAACTGTGCACATGGCCCTGGCCTCAGCCTCTGCTTCCCGCACTGGGTGGGGACAGGAAGTGGAAGCCAGAGGAGGGTCTGGAGATTCCAGATTCCAGCTTCTGTTGCAGCCAGAGGGATGAAGGGAGCACTGGCTAGGCAGGAGCCCAGGAGTCACGACCCGTTGTGGGCCACATGAGACCCAAAAGCTGCCAGTTGGACAGCCCTGGTCTAACACATTTATCCTGAGATAAGGAAGTGCTGGCAAGCTTAATTGGAGGAGACTGAGACTCAAGTCCTCAAAGATATTTGGGTGCCTAGCTTCCAGTTGGTCAAAAAAGTCTGCCTAGGGCAGAGGTCTCAACGAGCATATTGTGGTATCTCAAGAACCTGCCAAGGGTGCCATGATGCTGGCATTGTCGCTGCTTCTGCCATCACAGTGTGAAATTGCACTATGCTGTCCTGCTCTCAGGAGGCATGATGGCACTGAATCCTCTTCCCCACCCCACGTTCCATTATGCAGGCAGGTGCATGGCTCTTACTGCAGCTCTTCCCAGTTCAGCACTGATACACCTTCTGAAAGTGAAAGCATGCTGGGCAGTTCTACTTGGTAGCAGTGGCATCTCTCTGCCACTGCTATAGGATGAAATCACCCCACGCATCTCCGTTTTCAGAAAGCACATGGGAGCTGAACTGGGAAAAGCTGCAACAGAAGCAACATTACTTCTGCTCTATTCAGCACCTCTAGTCAGTGTCCAGTTTTGGTCTCCTGTAACAGGATAGTGCCTGGGGGCATGCTGTGATGCCCCCTAGTTGTTACCTTGATCCTGCCCAACCTTTGCTCCAGCTTCTCAGGGTCTTCCCCTATCTCTGCAGCCATGTCTTTGATGAGGGGAGGCTGCCTTTAAAAGCTGACTAGGTGCTCTTCCTAGTCCCTTTCCCCGCCCTTTATGGACTTCCCTGGTCCACTTGGCTTTGAGTTCATACCCCCAATGACCTGAAGTCTCTCTCGCTCTCTTTCCATCTGTACTAACACTGGGCCCCTCAGACTCTAACCCTTGTCTGGGCTTCTGCCTGTTCAGCCTCAGCCCTTTTCCTTTACCTAACCCAGGTATACTGACCCAGGCCCTGGCTCTTCAGGCCTCAGGCTCACAGTGGAGGGTGCCTACCAGGTACCCCACTCATGGCCTCCTCCATCCCTACAGCCACTCCCAGTCCTCTGGTCATTCAACAAACATAAAAATACATCAGTACAACAGAAATATACACAAACTGCTTTCACAAAGATAGCCCTTCTGTTCATCAATATCCTCCCACAAACTATGACTTGTTAAGAAGCCGGTATTGTTAGTTTTGTTTTCCTGCAGATGTTGGACTTTTGTTAAGAAGAAGTTGGAAAGGCACTGAGCAGGGATAATTTAGGGGTATCCACTATAGGTATGTTCCACACTTCTGGGTTTTTCTGGTTTCCACATGGTGCCAGGAGGAATTGTTTTTTCCCCTCTTGCTGCTGCATGTGTCTTTTTTTAAGCCTTCCTCAGAAACTTGGCTGTAGCCAAGGCTAGGGATTGTGACTGGGATGTGTCAATGCTCCTGCTGGGACCTTAAACACAGAGGTTCCTGATTAGAGGTTCTTGCCTCTCCAGTTCAGGTCAGACTGATCACCATATTTGAGGTGAGGAAGGAATTTTACCCCATGGTCAGATTGGCATGGACTGGGGGGGGAGGGGGGGGAGATTGCTATCGTTTGTAGCTGACGGCATATACACCTTGGTGTTTGCTTTCGGGTTTTTTATCATAGAAAAATCAGAGCTTTCCCTGCCCCCTTTGCTTACCAGGATATGGGGTACTAAGCAGCACTGATATGCTGGTGCCCTACCCCTGCCCTTGCCCTTGCCCCTCACTCCCAACCCAGAACCCTGCTAGGGCCCCTCACTCCTGACCTGCAACTTCTGCCTGCCCTTACTAGCTCACTCTTGGCCACAGCTCCCTTCCAGCACCAGGACACGAGTCCAGCTACAGCTTTTCCACCTGCAGCTTTGTGCCTCTGAGTAGTGCCAGCCCTTGCTGTTCTGCTCCCTGCACCTGTGTCCAGGCCCCAGCAACCCTCATGCTGTTCTTGGGAAGGCCTTGACTGGGACTCAGGGACTGGGCTGGGTAAGCCCCTTCCCTTCCAGGCTTGCCTCCCCCTGCACAGGTTGCTTTAGGGAAGTAGGGGGGCTCTAAGCCCGGCTATGGGGCCTCTCCTACCTGTAGTGCTCCCCCAACCCCATCTCTCTCTCTCTCTTTCACATACCCCTGCTGCCACCTCCACCCTTGCCCCCAGCCCATCACACACCCAAGTGGTTTCTGAGACCAGGACCCCCCACAGGCTGGGGGTCTCATGTCCCAGAACTGGTGTGGACACAAGGCAGGGCTGCAGTGCGGCAGTTGCCCCTGCAGACATGGCTCCTGCCAGTAGGTCCCATGCCACCTTGGTTGGCGGTTGGGCATGCAGGGTGTGAGATGTGTGAGAGGATGTGTGGTTGAGGGAAAGAGGTGTGGGAGGTGGGGCTGG